ACATACATACATACATACATACATACATACATACATACATACATACACACATCTAAAAACTAAATGAAAGAATTCAATTGAAACTAATTATAGAAATGACATGTGAGTTTTGATCTTTCCTCATTTATGTTTTGAATATTAATAAATTGATAACTTTCCTTGCAATATATGAAGTCCCGAGGGCTGGCTCCAGGTTTTAGTGCTGTCCTATTAATTCAGCATATCATAATAATGAGCAATAAGCAAACATGAGCGCACTACCTTATCTGAGGAGCAAATGAAGAGAAGAAAGAGAAGAGCACCACTATCAAGACAACTATTATTCCAAGTAACACTCCATGAGTATTCTATCAAAGATTTATTCGCATAACACAACAGGAAGTCACTGACCTAAATCCACGTTGTAGATCTTGGGAGGTTCTTTTTTTATTGGAATGTAATCAAAACATTTATGTTACAATGTAATTACAAACCTGCTCTACTATACAGGATGTAGCGAAAACCCCTTTTTAAAAAGCTATGAAGTAACTTTTGACATATTTCGACTTCACCGAAAATACTTGAATGTGTCAATATTCTTAGAACTACAATACATTTGCATTTCCCTATGTAAATGCATAATAAAACACTATTGTACATGTACTGAAACAGTACCATGAGAATAAACAAATGTCAGATCTGATAAAAAATGGTGAATCGTGTTTTGTACCTGTTACAATAGCAGCAGGTTCGCATTTCTTTTGCACGCTGGATCTTTCAAAAACATTTAAGACACAAGCTCTACTTGGATGCAGTGTTGTACACCACTTACTTTACTATTCCTAAAATAATTATTATCCTATGGATGCCTTCTCTTTCAGGCAACATATTTCACAAAACTGAGCTGGTACCTCCTTTCTTGAATAACATGTCACACTAGAATTTCCTATGCAATCGTTTAAAAGTGCGAATGTAAAGTTATTTGGGCATGTTGAAAACCAGTGGCAGAGATGCATGTGCCTCTTCATTCATGGAATAGTGTTTCTGCTATAATCCAGAGACGGTCTGTAAAGCTATTTTTCAAAATTTCAGTATTTAAAAAAAATCTTTATAGACACATCTGGTTAAATTAAAGGCAGAGTCCACCTGAAAAAAACTAAACAAAAAAACCCCCATCACCCAATAGCATAGAACCACAATTTAAAGAAAAAACACACTGCTGTTACTCAGTTAAAAACAACTCCTAGAATATCACTGGCAATACCAGTGCATATGCTCGCCTTCGAAATTTGTGTGCAAACTGCCCAAACTTGATGCGTACTTTAAAAGTCTTTGGATGCATGTTTTTTGCTGAGAACTTTGTAAATATTCAAATCAATGTTCAAATCTGTTAGTAATTTTTAGTAAATGATGGTATGAGTAACACTGAGTTGTCTGAAAGAAAACTAAAAGTGAATGATCCGTATTTGAACCTTTACACTGGCAGAACAATCACACGTTTTAATCGCAGCTTTTACATGGGATTAAAGTCCTGTGGAGATGTTCATTCAAAAAAGCATTTAAATGGAGTTCTGTCTAGTAGGTTTAAAGGAGTAAAAAAAAAATGATTTGCTACGTTTTCCTTCTGGGGGACTGCATGGGGTTGTGGCAAGAGGGTCCCCGGTTTCTATCCCCACAGGCCTGTGTAGAGTCTGTGGGTTCTCTCTTCCCCCTACAGTCTGAAAACATGAGCTTTGGGTTACTTGATTCTCAATTATCCAGAGGAATCAATGCCAGGATGTGTGGTTGTTTGTCTCTGAGTGGCCCATGAAGGACTGAGCTGTCCAGGGTGGACCCCGCCTTTTGACAGCTGGGATGGGCTCTGGCCCCATGACCCTACTATGAATAAGCATTATGGACAATGGTATTTTTTCCCCGCCGGTGGTTAAAACTGCCATGCTCAACAGCCCAAGCAACAGGTACCGACGTTTGGTATTTGCCAAAAAATGTTTCTTAAAATGAACCATGCGCGTTTCTTATATACATTGTTCATGTACAGGCGATTTTTCTCCAGCTACATGATCCGACAAAACCTCAGGCACCTGCTCCTGAACATCCAGGGTCTCCGAAAGGCCCTGACATTCATCAACGACACCTAAAACTCCATCTGATGCACAGGCGGATGATGCAGCCGGCAGCAGCAAATGCTCTAGTTTTTCTTCAGAGGCCCACTCAGTGGCCTTCATTTCTGTGGAACCCTCTTCTAGATCCTCTTCTGGCAACTGTGGATTAGAATCTTGCTGGCCAACAGTGGCATCGGATGCATCTTCCAATGGGACACTTTCACAACGTTTTATGTCTGTTTCTTCCGTTCTTGCAGCAGGGGCGGCCTTCAGATGCTGCTGGACGCGGCTGTGTGAAATAAAGAGGACATCATTATGAAAGCTTTTGTGCTTAACAGACCAAAATGATGACAAACTCCTATCTAAAGACAGTTAACAGCCTTTGTATAGAAAAATTAGATTGAGAGAAAATTAAATTGTTTATGGAGACCGTGTTGTTGTACCATGCAAAAGAGGCAGAGGCTGAAACTGTGTCTGACATCGTTCAAAAGTCTCAATGTAAACCAAATATTTAGAGAGGTGTCAAACGGGGTTTTGATCTTTTGTGCTAAGTGCCCGAAGTAGCCCACAGCGTAGGGAGAAAAGCAGTATATTTACACCTTAAAGTACCTTCCCATGATTTTGCAAATGTAGAAATTCCTTTTTATTTATTTTCACAGCTTTTTTCCCACAAAAAAACAAAATACAAATCGACTAATATCTAGCCATTCGTTAAATTGAAGTATCCATGAGGCCCCATGTTTGTACCCCATCTCAACAAAAAAACTAAATCAAAACAAGTCTACGCTGGTTAGTCACCTCTGGCTGCCTGACCAGTCATATCCCACCATTCACCTTCATTTCTTAAGTCACAATTCAAAGAAAGATCCTGCTCCCAAATATAAGATGGGCCATGAATATTTTTTAAGGAAATTTTTGTCAGGAAATTAGAAACTATTAATGACCCCTACCTATGGCCTTTTTTGCAGATGAAGTAATAAAAGTATAAAACACAGCCTGCAGGTAAGGACACATTTAAAGCCAAACTTCATATCGTTGAGTTACAAAAAGAAAAGAAAAAAAAAGTTAAGCCAACTACTTTTTTACTGTCTTTTACTCACAGCGTCATGTTTCACAAATGTTCGAGTTAAATATTGCTCATAGTTTACCTTTAATCCCCTCAGGGAGGTGTAACACAGAAAAACTTTTTGGGAGGTCCAAAGCATTTTCTTAGAGTAAGAAATCTAAATCGGGTTTATCAAAGTGTGATTGGAGGAATATTTTGAGGTGAAGTTCTCGGATTTATTATTGGCTGAGAAGAACGATTTTTTTTTAAACTTTGGGGTTAAAGTGTTAAAACCACAATTTGGTGCTTTTGTAGAAATTGTTCATTTAAAAAAAACAAATCAGCGTCGGCCCCTACTCTAATGTGGTGAACCTCAGACCTGGAGACTGTATCAAATCCAGCTCCAACTAGAAACAGCCTCCTTCTGTATCACTCCCCTTTTACCGGCATTAACTTTTAACCTGGTTCAGCGCTGTCCAGGGAATAATCTGCACTGGTTACACAACATTTGCCGACACATTTGTATATGTGCGAACACTTTTTTGGTTGAAAATAGATTAAATGAATGGATATATCCTACAGCTAGAAATACTAGCATGACCATTCAAATGATCTGCTTTAGATGAATTCAGAGCTGTTTTAGTCTCATTTAATCGGATTAAGAAGAAAACACTGTCACAGCCCTACAACCACCTCAGCTCAGCTCGAGAACCCAAGAAGTGGAAGCCCTGGTTAGGGAACATGGAGAATATCACAGATTTCATTCACTTGCTTGAAATTAGCATTCAAAAAGTAACATTTGTATGAACAGCACAAGCCTTCAGGAGGCAAACAACATCAAAACCAACTGCTCAAACAAAGAGGTATGTCTCTCACAGTAGAGATATAGAAGCTGATAGACCTGGCTGAATTAGGGCCCGGGGGAGACAGTAGTATCTTCATAAAGTCATCAACAGGGAAATGTTGCCATTTATCAGGCAGCTCACAGATTTTTGTTTAGAAAAAGAAAAAACAACAAAGCCACTTTACAGTATCACATTTTATCAATAGCAAAAAGCTTTTTTTTTTTTTTTATATGAGGGCAAGGTAGTCAAGACCCAGATCCAGCCTGCCAATGGAAAGCCATCAATTTAGCCTCGATCTCTGGAACAGTTTGATTCAGCACCACCTAGACCAGTGAAAAGGCTGCAGCGCCACCTCAGGGGGCAGAGAACAGGTCTGAACAAGATGGCATTGGTAAGAAGAGGCAACTAATTTATGGGAGAAAAATAACCAGACGCACAGCAAACTCAATCAGAACAGAAAAAAAGGAGGAACACTCCTTTTGAAGATAAATTAGACATAAAACAAACTTCAGCATTTTAAAGACTTTCCAGTGATATAAAACTCGGAAAACTACGTATAAAAAGGTATTTTTATATCCACAGTATCATTATCATACACCATTTACATGACTAATCTATTCACACCAAATTTGAATAAAAAGAATCTTTGTGACTACTCTGAGCTGTCTTCTTAATAATAGTCGTGGTCCTGAAGAGCATGAGGAGTGTCCCTCATCGCCGACAGGGCAGAGGCGATGCGTTGGCGGAGCACTTCTCCCTCTTTCAGGTCGGCCCCGGCATAACCGCCTCCGTGGTCTGGCTGCAAAGCCTCTGCCTCGGGCTCCAGTTCGTCTCCGTCTCGGAGACAGAAGTTGTGCAGTACAGCACAACAAGCAATGATCTGCACAGCGAACACTGGTTGCACTTCCAGATCCTTGAAAAATATGGAGCGCCACCTGGTCCTCATCATGCCGAACGCCCTGCTGATGGCGGAGTGGGCCCTTGCGTGGTGCGCGTTGAACCTTGCTTCAATCTCACTGTTCGCTGGCTCCCTGTAGGGTGTGATGACTGCAATGGGCTGTGCCATACAGGGATATGCACCATCTCCCAGAATGCAGCAGCCTTCAGGGGGGTACAGTCTCTGTTCGTATAACGGGCTGTTCTGAAGAACTCTCTCATCAGGAACCGAGCCTGGGTATCCAACAAATATGTCAAGGAACCGGCACTGGTGGTCGCACACGCCTTGTATCTGAATTGAATGGAACAGTTTCCTGTTGATGTAGCGCTGAGATTCGTCACTGGGGGGCTTGATCCTTACGTGACAGCCATCGAGGCTGCCCACAACCTTGGAGAAAGCCCTGGACCCGGAGAGGCGCTCAAAGCCAGCAGCTATGTTTGTGAGCTCATCGCTTGACGGTAAACTGATGATCCTCTTTTGGAGCCCGATCACCTTGTTGGCCATCTTGCGCACGACCTCGTACACGGTGGTGCGTGGGATCCCGAACGCCCTGGACACGAATTTGTACGACGTCGCACTGGCCAGCCAAAACAGAAACACGAGAACCTCTAGGGCTTGACCCCAGCCGCAATTTGATGAAGAGCTGAGGACCTGAATCAGATGGGCGATTGTCGGTCTGGAGAGGCAGAAGTCTGGTCTCAGGTCACTTTGTTCATCAAAGTACAAGGCCAAGACACCAGCCTGGCGGTTCAGCACACAGTACTGACACGGCAGTTCACACTGTAAATAAAGATATTAAAGCTTATAACACTGTGTTACGACAGGATATGTATGACTACAAGCTCTGTGGCAGTGCAATGAATCACACTATGTGCTGCGACAGTTTTCCATACAGGATGTGAAGAAAAAAAAACTGTGCCATGTCATGATTTGACTACTTGTGTCCAAATTTTTTACTTTACTTGTATCACAAATGTAAAAGCCTTGCAGGACCTTCAGCTTTTGACTTACAAGGTGGCGATGTCTTGCTAGAGTAGCAAGAGCAATACTTCTCAGTTTTCTCCGTCTAGATATCCAGTTCCCAATCCTAATCAGAAATATTTGAATGATGGTGAGAACAAGGAAAAATTGACGTAGACCGGCATTTTAAACGGGGCTCTAAACATACATAGTCGTCTAAAAGGTGTGGGTTTCATTCTGTTTTATGGAGGTGAAATTCACCAGATGTCACGCCAGGATAACTTTCAAAGACCCCGCGGCATGTAATCACCCTCCTTCTGGATTTTGTTCAGGCTGGCTGTGTCGGTGTGGGCTGCACGTTCACCACTAAGATGACGTGCAGACGCTACAACCTGGATACGCAAGTCTGTTTGCTTAATATTCAACAGGGGAAACTGTACACCGAAACAATAAATGGTATGAAACAATGTTTGCAGAAAGTCTGTCATTAGTTCAGTCTGCAGTATCAAACAGTTTTTACTTTGGTTGGTTTTATACTGGGTTTGGGGCTCTTCCATTAGTACAGCTTCAGCTCTACCCAACTTTTCGCATCGCCATGCCTTGGTTTGGTTGGTTTTGCGGTACAAATGGGGTCTTAACAGAAAGATGGCCGACTGGCCTGCATCGTTATTTGTATGCGGCACAGGAATGAGAATTCTTGGCAAAGATATACAGACTCTAGCCAAGTGTTGGACCCTGATGTTCACAGAAATTACTCAAGTGAACGTTTGCTAATGCTGCGTCTTATAAATACGAGGACTCCCCTCCATGACTACACGAGTCAGCCGACTTGAAATCTGTTACCAGATAGGAGGCGCCAGCCCCCGTTGGAAATTAAGAGAAGTTGAGCTGAGCAGAGTAGGTACTAGTGGCAAACCCCCTTTAGATCACCGAAAAACAAACACACACATGAAACGTAGGCGTTTCTAAGCACGCACACACACAGTGAATGTTAGAGCATTAAAAAACAGACCAGCTGGTTTTATTTAGGAATAAAGAGAAGGAATCAAACAGGTTCAATAGCAAGGGACACAAACCTCCGAAAATAAGAGAAAGAAGAAAAAAGTGGGCAGACAGCTAACAGTGTACATGCAGTTTCCCAGCATCTGACCCAAAATCACTGTAATCATTTCCTTGAAAGCGATTCTCACACAGGTAAACACCTGGTGAGCAGAAATTGTGCGACGTCATCATTCACAGTTCTGTGAAAATGCCTTTGCGGTGGACAAAAGCATCGGCTGTCCCACTGACACTTTCACAGCCCTCTGCTTAAAGCTGCACAGGAAGTCAGGGATTCAGGGAACACGTGATCTCAGACACAGCCTCATTCATCTCTGCCCAGTGAAGTCATAGTGATGTCACCAGAAGTCCCTCAGCCCGCCATGAGCGACATCTACACTTAACCCGTCACTGCATGGTGCACGTTAATCAGATTCTATTCTCCACTTACTGAAAGACCCTGGGAAGCGCGTGGCTGTCCCTTAAAATGAACACCTAGCTTAAAGTTTTTGACTGGGAGCTTTATTGATGAATGCCTCTGACAGACTAAATACAAATAATACAATATCATATGACAATATTTAAACATGTTAAGAATGGCTGAGTTGCAGGAATCTGCATTTGTGACGTTCATATAAACTAATGCCAATCAGGGTATCTTGGTCTCTTGCATGCTGGTATTATCACAGAACTCCTTCTAAGAGGCCATAGGGAGTGCTTTCATTAAAGACAAAGAAGGGGAATGTAAGCAGGAACTTCTACTCACTCTTCTTCTTGGTCGTCAGCTTTTGGATCTGTTGGGTTAAATAAGAAAGAAGGTGTCCAAAAACCTCCTGACACTAAGTCACACTAATGCCCCTCTGTCAGAAAAAAAAGAAGAAAATTTTGAATGGAAAAATAAGAGTAATACCTTTCTCCTGAATGACTTTGCATACGTGATCTGGTTTATCTGCTAAATGTTTGGTCATCAGGTCACAGCCTGACGCGTCAACCAGGAGGTCACAGCCGAGACAGAGGAGGGTAAACCTGAAGGAAAAACAAGACTTGTAGATTTTTCTGCTTCTCTATTTAAATTCAGATGCAAATCAAAAAGCCCTCTTACTTCAATGGAGATACATTTTTCTTCTGATCCATCTTCGACAGTTTGTGTTTGCTGACTGTGCTGTGACATCTAACAACAACAAAAAAAAGTGAGTCAAAAACAACAAAGTCATCACTATAAAGTAAACAAACTAGTCCTTACTCACTTTATCATGTGATTCCCAATGGAGGTTTTGCAACTTGTGCTGTAGTTGCACGCGCCACAGTTTGAAACCAATGGGAAATGTGAGAAGAAGCAGTCGACTCTTGCGTTGCACTCGATGCATGTGTAGTCCCCTCCGTCGACGCTGGGAACACAGAATTGTTCAACCACACAGGCAACACTGAAACTTTCTTACAGTAAATAACTCCTCTCTCTCTGGGCTCAAATCAGACTTTAGAGGCCGCATAAGACAAATGACCCGATCTGTTGTTAGTGACGCGACTTCTTTAAGCAAATCTGCCTATTCATCAAAATATTTTTAGCCAGCCTAATGAAGTGTCGAGAAAATTAATTGAAAACCCAATTAGCCACTTTGCATAATGCTGTGCTTTAATAGCACCCATTAATCCCCCCCCCGCCCCGTCGTGAAAATCCTGGATGAGCAAATGTGGGCTCTGTGATCCAGGGCCTCAGAGCTGGATTCATCATGTTTTGTTTGTTTTTCTTAGATAGAAAAGAAATAAACATGTAATGTTCACTTGATTAAACACGTCATCAAATGTGGTCTTTTCTTTACTTAACATTCTCATACAAAACTGGCCTCACTGTGCATGTTCACAAATAAACAACTCAAGTATGCAGGGAGCATCTAGCCCCTGTTCATTTGTGGTTCAGTGTGCTGATGTTGGAGCAGCACTTTGAAAAAGCTCAGCTACCAACCTGACGTTCCTGAGCGCCGTGTTGTTTTTGGCGGGTGGAGGGCACCGCTTCTTGTTCTGCATCGCCTTGGCCTTCCCTGCTCCGGAGCTGTTGGCTTTAGACTTGGACCAAGTAACTTGCGGTTTGCCTTTGAAATTGGTGACCGTGGATGGTTCTGGACGGACAGTGATGGCAGATCGGCCGGGTGAGATGGGCGCAGTAGAGGACCTTCCAATGAGGGAGGCCCGGATGGTCACCTGTGATGAGTACAAAGCGAGCAAATACAATTAACATACAAACAAATGCAAACCTATTAAGATTTGATTCATGATAAATGATGGACTCCGATACAGCTACTTCACTGCCTCTGACCTTTGTGCCTGCAGGGAGGCCCTCCAGGGCTTTGGGTTTCCTGAAAGTCTTGTGGACCTGAGTCCTGTGCTCCACTTTTTCCTTGTAAGTGAGAAAATTCAGTCTGCATTTTCCACAGCGGTGGATTCCTTTTTTCTAAATAAGACAAAGAAAACAAACAAAAACACGATCAGTAAGCAAGACTGGAGGCTAATGACACCTGTGCTTGCCTGGTATCCACCTTAAAAACAAACTATTTTCCTTCTCGTGAATTAAGTAGAAATTGATCCCTCACATCTATCGCCTCTTTAGAGCAGGTGAGCGAGAGAGCATTTAAGGACGATAAAAACCGTCTGAGCTTACTTTGAGCCATAAGTACTGACAAAAAGTTCAAACTCCAATCATTACAGCAACAGTGGAAGGGTCAGACACACACTGCTTGCGGATAAGTTGCGCCTTACAGTACTTCTCCTCGCAGCTACCAGCGTGGGCTTGATCGTACCTGATGCTTCATGTAGTGCTGCATGTAAATGTGGCTGGTTCTGAGAACTTTGAGGCAGAAGGGACACAGCAGGTCCTTTGTGTTCTCGTGGACACTTCGGAAATGCGTCTCCAAATCCGAGAAGAAAGACGACCTGTAGGTGCACACCTGTCCGATCAGAAAACACAGAGGGAGTGTTAGAGAGAGCTCTCCTCTTGAAACATTACGTCTCACAAAACAAAGGTGACGAGAGATCCACCTGGCAGACATAAGGCATTTCCCCAGGTTTGTGGTTCCCCTTCATGTGCTCCAGGAGCACCTGCTCAGACTCAAACGCTAGCTCGCATATCTTGCAATTAGCTGCAAACGGGAAGGGAAGAACATTATCAATGGCCAACGAGCATGTGGATGAATGACCGATCCTAATATCTTACTGGAGGATTCGATAGGGCTATGAGCACTCTCGATGTGACACTGCAGCTGGAATGGAGTCATGTACTGTCGGTAGCAGTGGTGGCAGGTCGTGTGGCTTTCCCAGCTCTCACTGTTCTGCTTTTCCAGCTCCAGGTGGTGTTTCATGTGGTTCATGAACCTGCAAGGACACACATAACAGTTCAGCTGGATGACTTGAACCAGAATTGCACAGTGAGACAAGACACTGAAACCTCTGATTTGAATGAAGACTTCTGGGAACTGAGGCGGTGAGAGAAAAAAATAACTAATTAGTTATGTTTCACGAAGTTCTCATGACTGGAGATGTGCAAAATCAAGGACTTCACTTACAGAAGGATGTTTAATTGTCTTCAATCAATTACCTATCCAAATTCTTTTTTGCCCACCTCTGACTTTAAAATATGAGATTTGAGACGGTAAACTGTATTTATTTGACTTTACTGACAGCATATTGAACTTGTGATGGACAATCAGAGTATTCCAGTATTACAAACTAATCAAATGAGACTTGATTTAATTTTACAATACAATTCAAGAGACCAGTGTTAAAGCTACATAATAGGACTGTTTAGTACCCTTCTTTATCGAGTATCAAATGATCAAAGCCACATAATTATGTGCAGATGTATTTTGTGGGCTTACAATACAATATCCCGCATTTCCAAAGTCGAAAATATATAAACCAACACTTAAGACATTAGGGCCTTTATCTAAAGGAATACTTTGGACTTAAGAGGAAATAGAGAGGTTAAAAGAACTTTACATTAAGTAGTGGGGAAGAGATTATTATTAATGGTTTGTGTGCATGCGGCAGTTATGGTCCTGGTCCCAAAGGTTTTTATGATAAATGAGGAATACTCCTCACACCTCACTTTCTAAGCATGTATAATGGCTGTTATAATATGTGCAATTACACAAAGATTTTTGGTTTTCCTAATGATGTAGTGCTCTGTAGCACCTCCACAGCAACCTGCCACTGGCGGCCCTGGTCATGCACGGCCCATTTTTCAGCCTGTACATTGTGCTTCCTCAGCTCCCCTAATAGAAATTTTATGCGGATGAACTATGACCATGACTGAGAGAGCATGGCTGAAGAATAAATGTGTTTCCCCATTAAAAGAAGCTTACAGAAGCTGTTTTTTTTGCAAAGCTCTGAAGCAAAGTTATTTAATCAAAGGTGCAGTTTTTAGGCTACGTAAACTAACGGTAATTTTTCATCTTTAGGTCCTGCAGGGGAAAAAAAACGGTTCAATGCCATCATCCATCTGAGAGGAGAGGTGAAGTTAGAGCGGTGGAAGGGTATCTGGCAAGAGATTTATCACTATGTGTGCATATTTTCAGACTGCAAACCCTATCAGGGAAACTATGTGATTATTTATAGAAACTCAAGCACTGCAAATTAAACCTAAAAGTAAATACTAAGAGGAAAGCATCAAAACGTCATGATCTTCAGTTTGGCCAATGAACCCAATTCAGCTCATTACTGGTGACCTTTCAAAGAGTAAAAGTAAAGACTAGTGTTAAAACAGTCTTAATGCTTAGTTTTGTACCAACTAAACAATTTTAGTACATTACTGTATAACAATTCCTCCATCTGAAGTCTAAAGCTTCTGAATGATCTTCAAGTGCAAAAACTGGTATTAACAGACAGGCTGGAGGTACAAAAATGTACTAAATAAAACAATGATATTTATGTCCTGATACAGTGTGACTGAGAAACCACATGCTAACACTTAGAAATCAGCCAAAATTATTTTACTGAGCATATCACAGGAAGCCAATGACATCAAAAGGAATAAGAAGTCCCTCTGAGTTGTAAGGTCATTCATCTAATCTCACTGATGATATTTTAACAGGATATGACACATTTCTGGTAAAAATACAAACAAAAAAACTAAACAAAATGTTTTCTGTTAAAAAAAAGAAAAGAGAAATGCTGACGAACAAACAGAAAGAAAGTCAAATCACTTATGATTTGAAAACAACAGATAAAACACTACGAGAACAAAACTGGATTCTACTTTGGAATTAATTTGTCTTTTTTGCCATTCTGACCAAAAAGTTAAGCGGATTTCAACGGAGGATGGGAGTTTTTCAAGCTTGAAAATGTGCCTATTTCTCTAAGAGGATCATACCTGATATTGTTCTTGAGAACTTTTAAACAGCTTTGGCATTTGAATGTAGTGTTGGTTTTCGGCGCCCCCCTTTTTTGTTCGTCCCCCTCGAAGCGTCCGTAGTAAAAATCTGCGACAAGCATTATGAGCTTGTTTGAATTCGGGTTTGGGGCTGAGGGAGCTGGATTTCCAGTTTTGATACGACATCGCTGAAATACAAAAAAAAAACGCATTAATAAACCCAACTTCATCTCCTCCGACTCAACTGATTCACATCAAAAGGAAATTAACCCATTAATTTAAACAAAGAGAAACTGGGGGCGACACAACTTCATTTACTTATTTAGTTTTACTTAAGACTAAAATTAAAATTAAATTAAAATGTTTTAAAGACACAACTTTACACACCATTACGTGATATTTCTGGGCCTCTTCTGTAGGAAGTTCTTCTTGACATTTGGGGCACTTTTTCTTCAGGATACCATTTTCCACCTTTATAGTGACTTTTGCTGGTTCTACAGAAAAACAGATAGGTTTTTAACAATCGATAACCTATTTCGGAACCCAACAAGATTTTCTGGGATTAAACTATTTTTTCAAATAAACTGCTGTTGTCGTACAAACATACGCAAATCAAGCTTCACTTTCTTGGCCACAATTTCACCTCCGAGGTCCATCGGATCTTGTTTGAGAGCACTTTGTTCTAAAAGAAATCCAACACAATAATTTTCAACAATACCAATTCAGCTTAATGTTACATTTGCAGAAAAAACTATTTAAAGAAACAAGAATAGAATCTTTAAGCCAAATGGTTCATGTCTAAAAGCATTCCCCTGTTTAAGTTTGAGAAATGTAACTTTTTCCAGACAATTGTGAAAATTTAGAGAAAGATTGACGACGACTCCTTTTTCTTTACCAAAAAGAATTAAAAATCACCTCTGTTGTTGCTATTCTCCTTAACAGGCATAGACACGGCCAGAAGGGATTGCGAAATGGCGTGATTGGGCTGCAGCTGACCCGACTGTATTGAATACACAGCAGGACTCTGGACATTCGACAGAGTCACCACGTTGTTCCTAATCTGCTGCACTTGAGGCCTGTGGACCACACCGGGCACGACTGTGGCTGAAGAAACCCGCTGAAAAAGCGGCTGCTGACCGGCTAAAACACAGGATGGGGGGCAGAGATTAAATATGAAATTTAAAAACTGAGCAAATGGGGGACAAAGATGCACTCCTCAGGAGTACAGCACACCCAGATTTACCTGGCACGATTGTAAATGAGGTCCCGGGGGGATACTGGGAACCCAGAGTGGCAATAAGCTCCTTGTTGTTTGTTATTCTTGGAGAAGTGACAATGAAGCCCTGAGATAATGAGACAAATACGCACTAATCGTTAAAAAATGTTTTTTGTATTCTCTTCTTTTCAACCTAAAAATCCAACCGACCTGATTATTAACGATGACAGGCTGCGGCGTCACCGTGGTCAGTTTAGGTGGCGTGGTGCAGACTGTAGTTACAGGGACACTCAGTGGCAGCACTATGGGTGCAGGGCCGGCAGCAGCAGCCTGAGGGGGGGGGGACCTCTTATCTTGTGTCCCTGCACTGCTTTTCTGAGGAGGTGCTGGCTGAGGCTTGCCATCCTTCTGGCTATGAGCTTGAAGGACACAAAAGCAGGGCCAAAGTAAGCATCACATCAAATTACATCTCTTTACACATGAGAAGGCTTTCAGCTCTATGAGCCACAATGGAAGACAAATCAACTGTAAAGGATTAAAGACACCTGCAATAGAAGTCATTCTGACCATTATAATCAATACCATGAGGTCATGATAGCAAACAAGAATGACTAATTAAACTGTGAAATTCTAAATAAATATGCTTCGATGCTTGTATGAATTTGGTAACTGCACTTCGACATACAGAGCACGCCAACAAAGATAGGCTCGTCGTCATCATCGTCTATCAGGTGAACTTGAGGGACTTGTTTCTGCCATGGCTCCAGCTCCTCCTCCACACACTCCATAAAAAGTTCAGACATTGTGGACCTACAACAGATCAAATGTTGACAACTTCTTTCAACAACTGCCGCAAACAATGATCAAGCATCAATCCCAAAATTCATTATTTAACATGTAAACATGAAACTGACCAGAGGAGATTATTTGATAAGGTTTTTTTCAGATAAGCTCCGATTTTTTAAAAATAATAAGATGCCTTCAGACTGATCTCAAAAAATTTTACTATTCCATATTTTCAGCTATGGGTCAGTTCAAACAAAAGAATAAGATAATAATCAAGTTGAATAGGACCATTTTACATAAAGATTGGATTTTAAATAATCCTGAGGCTGTAATCCGAAACAATTCTAGTGGTCATGGAGGCATTTGAATTTTTTTTATTTATTTATTGTGTACTCAAAGCTTCACCAGACTCCAGCCTCCCCTTGTTTTTGAACAATTCACAGTAAGTTCCTTCATTTGAATGTACATCTTTTTGCTAAAAAGGTGCCATCAATGACAGATGAATAAAACAGTGTGAAAGATTTGATATTTTTCAAATTATTATTCATAAACAAAAAGATCAGAGCTGAAACTAATCCCACTTTCATCCAGCAGCTAGCTTGCAGCATAGAATCAAATACATGGATAATGCCACAAAAAGCTCCAGCTAAATTTAAGGCAAAACAGCATTTAATGATTTAAATGGTTTCTGGCCAACAAGAAAAACAACTGCATCATCCTACTGTATCTTCAGTCTGCAACAAACTACAGTCAGACAATGGCAATGATTTCTCTTCATACACTTTGGCTTTCCTGCTGAAATGCGACAGGTCTTCCACATGAGTTGTTTACACACAGAGGTGTGAAATAATTCAAAATGACGTGAACTTTACACACTGAAAAAGCTCTTAGATAAATACAGGGTAGGAATTTTTCAATCTATGTTTCAATTTGCTTCCGAAGTCAAAACAGAATTATCACGTAATAACATGGCATGAATTCATTAGTTCTTCTGTCTTCATCCATGTTTATAGATTGCTCCATAATAAATACATCTTTAAATGGGGATATTTTTTCTAGACAGTCAGTCACACCATATGTAACCACCAGGGCAATGCTGGACAAACTGTTTTTTACTAACTTAAACGGAATACAACCCAAATGAATCAGTAAAGCCTCTGAACAGACCTGCTCAACTGCTTTCCAAGATGGCGACAGCATTGATAACTGATGCTCTTTACAACACTCTAAACTGACTTAAGTACATTAGTTACAAATCCAGTGCTTTGTAAACCATAATGGCCTGTCATTTTATTAGATACTTATAGATGCCTGTGAAGCGGTCTGTAAATTTTAGTAGAAATTTTCGAGAAAGAAAGAAAGAAAGAACAATTGAAATAATGCAATATAATTTAAAGATGCTGCTTAAGCTTAAAGCTATCTGACGTCTAGCTATTTGCTAGGTCCTGGTCATTTCAAAACACGAACTACATACAGAAATGGTTGTTTAGTACTTTGAATAGCTTGTAAAGTTCCCTCCCACAAGCTAACTGGGCTAATGTTATGTTAGCCTAGCAGAAGTGAGCAACGCTGTGTGCCATCACCTTCTTTTCATAAGCTGTGGAGCTAAAGCTAACAATCCCATTTCACCTTAAGCTATACTTGCAAAACACACCCGTTCAGCGTTAGAATCGAAGTCGGCCTTTTACCCTTCTTTAAGAAAAATTGTTAAACTAGCGTGCAATTGAGTCGCTGCATGCATCGATCATTGGCTATAGATCTTTCAAATTAGCCAGCCTCCATTAGCATGCTGGCGCTCTTTGAAGCAGATACGAGACAAAGCCCTGTTTGTGTTTCACTTTACCTCTTTCTCTCCCAATTGCAGGGACAGACTCTTTCAAGATACCGGTTTCGACTCAGTCCTGTGGCCTGAGGACGATGGTAGTCACGCAGTGCGGGTGAACATCACACAAGAGGAGGGGGAATCTATCCGGCTGGTCCAAGACAACGGAAATGCTCGGTATGTCTGGACCAATCAGGAGCTCGGGAATAGAGTACTTCCCGGTCCCACCGGCGGGTTTTCATCAATTGGGGATGGTATAATCACAGCGATCAGGCAGTCAACCGGTGTAAATCTCAGAGTTGTATGTCCGCCAACTTCTCTAAAGGCTATCCTATAAAGTATGCCGAGATAGTTTAGTGTCTGGTGCTGTAACGCATCATGAGAGCTGCTCACCCTAAAAAACAAAGGATGTGATTCCACAAACTGGGGCCAAAACGGCCAAACTGAACACCCTTAAAATAACGAGTGCCAACATACGAAATAATCTGAGCAAAATTATTATTTTCCAAGGTTTTCAACTTGCACAGCCACACAGACTGCAATTGTATAGCTGTGTATATATATTTATGGTACGGAGCTACCGGAGGCCGGAGGGGGGGCTACCGGGATACCGCCCTACCGGGGGACGGAGGGGGGCTACTGGTAAGGGGTTAGCGAGCCGGGGTCCGGGGTCCGGTACTCCCCTCTGGGGGCCCCGCTACCGGTCCGGTTCTTTTCCAAGGCTTTCAACTTGCACAGCCACACAGAGTGCAATTGTATTGCTGTGTATATGTGCGGTCAGGGGAGGCAAAGCCTCACCGGTCATCATCCATCCATCCATCCATTATCAATACCGCTTATTCCCTGATGGGGTCGCGGGGGG